TGAGCTGGGCTCTAGACCGATGTAGATGACGGTGATTATTGAGCTGGGCTCTAGACCGTAGTAGGTAACGGTGATTATTGAGCTGGGCTCTAGACCGTGGTAATAAATGATGAAATGACACTAAACGAACAAAGTTAATCATGAGATAATAACACCCTAAATTGAGGGTCTTGGAAATTGAAACATTGATTATACTTAGTATAGTTGTCATTGTACTTGTCAAATGCTTCCAAGTACTGACCTCCCCTTCACGGGGGAGGCCACCTCACAGTTTCAGGTAGGAGCTGAGCTTGCTACCAGTGCCCGTTGCCCCGGGTGAATTCAAGGAAGGAAGACGTGGTTCGTGCTTCCTCCGTTCCTGTTTTAAAAACATTTAAATTAATGCTCATGGATATTACATTTTGAATAATCATCTGGGGGCTTGTATGCCCATGTTTGCCAAAGTGTGGCGCGAACACTTGTATTAAATGTTTCCGCTGCTTTGAATGAATATTTTACATTATGTTTGTTTATGGATGTACTATGTGTGAATGATATCCCAGACGCCTTGTATAGTATGAATGTGTTGGACTGCGGTTGACTATTCGTACTGTACGGCGGATTGTTGACGTGTCCGGGTAGGTCCGGGGCGTGACAAGTGACCTGGGGAATAGCAAATTTGACAGACAACTGGTGGGGGAATGGAACCAAACTATCCATCAACTAAATGTGAGCATGCATAGCCATGGTTAGTCCTATTTAGGGTAATTTCGCAAAATTGAATTGCATAAAACTGAACCTGGACATCCGTGAGAAGTAGAAGCCGAATAATAGCCCAATGTGAGTCCCTCGGGAAAAGTAGTCATTGTGGTAATTATAGACCCAAAGTCTGGACCAAGACCAAGAAGTGTTTGCTCAAGAAGATCTTTCATGAAAACAGGGGAATTAATTGTGGCAAGGGTATCAACAATTTTCTGAATTTCATGCATCTATTGCTCCATAGTTTGATTTTCTTTATTTAAAGAAATAGTTAACAAGCGTTTTAATTCCATGGAATGAGCCATACTGCAGCCATAAATCTAGATTCCAGACGTTCCCAAATGGTAGCAGAATTTTGTAGAGTGTGAACTTCAACAAGTATATCACAAGATAAATTAAAGTAGCAAACAACCAATAACTAACTGTTTGGTCTAACTTTAACCAATATATAATAGCACTCATTATTCACAACTTCTCTACAAAGAGCATCAAAAGTATATTGAGTAGGAGCATCAATTGTACCATCCAGAATGCCTAGCAGGCCACAAGACACCAAAAAGGACTCTAACTGAGTTCGCTAGTGCAAATACTCTTCAACGACATCAAGCTTCGTGGTGACAATATTTGTAACTTTTGGAGTCGAAAAACCCATAGATTGTGCAATTGTCTCCGGATAACCCTGCTGAGCTGATGCCACCTTGCCTATCGGACGAAGCATAGGCGGCGGCATCAATCCCCGCGACCCGGGAAATGTGGGTCCCGCGAACTGAAGCCTGGATGTAGATGAAGTTACTGACTGTACCGTGGAGTCCTGACCGATAGGACGACTGACCCTGATGGGAAAGGACCAGTCGAACACCGGCGGAACCCAATCGGACGTATCAATCACTGAGCTGCTCACTGGGAACGACATTGTGAATGAAGACTGCAAGGCAGTTGATGTCGAGCCAAACGTGAGAGAGAACGGAGCCAATGAGGTTGAATATGCAGTTATGTGCAGTGATGTCGTGCTCTGCGACACTGCCGTCGTGAGAGGCACGGTAGAGGTGATTGGCTACAACGGCTGTTGATCGACGCCATAGGCACCGGGAAAAAATTTAGGGTCAAAAGAAGACTCTTGATACCATGTGATAATAATAAATAGGGTTAATCAGACTGATAGCGCTGACGGTATATTTAAATGAAATAAGTTGTCTAATACAATGAGGATACCGACTAATAATTAATGTTAAACACAACTAGGAAGGAACCATATAAAATAATACTCCCTCCGTCCTAGGGAGAAGTTCCCGGGTTGACTTTCACACATATTAAGGAAATAAAGTTACTGGGGGGTAAATTTTACTGTTTGGCACTGTTTCGACACTGTTTGGCACTGTTTCGACACTGTTTTGTACTGTTTTGCACTGTTTGGCACTGTTTTGATGTAGAATAACTTTCCATTTAGGGAAATGAGAACTTCTTGTTGGGACTGCCAAAAAAGGAAATTGGGAACTTGTCCCTGGGACGGAGGGAGTATAAAAATACTAATTAAGAAGATCATTTTCATCTTTAAGAAGAGAAAGAAAAAAAATAAATTTGATCCGTTGATCGACCGCTCCTCAAGCTAGACCTATAAAAAGAGTTAAGAACTACTCCCTCCGTATCACATATATCTTCCCACTTCCAAAGTGAGTGAGATTAAGAATAGTGAAAGAGGATATGAATTATTGAGGGTATGATGGGAAGATAGTGAAATAATGTGATGGAATGAAGGATAAATCCAAAAAAAGTAAGTGTAATAGTGTATTATTTTTTTAATTATTAAGGGTATGATGAGAAGATTTAGAGATGAGAAGATATAAATGTTACGACCAAAAAAGGAAAGTGAGAAGATATGAATGTTACGGAGGGAGTATATATACTAATATACTTGTATATAAGGAGTAACTCTTAAAGAAAAAATAGAGTTGACTTAGAAAAGCTTCAAAGGGTGAAATCATCTCCCTATTATTCATCACTAAATCATATAAATTGATGGGAGAATCTTAAATTAAGAGAGTTCTTATTTTTAGTCTCTGTCCTGTGAAAACAAAATTTCCCAGTTCCCATGCATTAAAGATCAAAACCGAGCTCCGCCTGTACGTGGTTTCACGTCCGTGGGAGTAGGCCATACAGTCCCCTAACGGCCACGCATTTGTTTGGCGTTTGGGCAGTTGGGCCATACGCTTTTCACCAGAGTAAGTACAGAGAATTAAAAGAAAGCAAACCTACGGGCCCAACTCAAATTTAAAAAATTTATATATTTTTATTGTTAAAAAATTTGTGTGATATTTTTCCTCGAAAATGTTCTTTGTATTGTATGGAACCTACACACTCACAAAGAATGGTACACGTACCCTAAGGGCATCTCCATTCATGAGATTATTTAGAGATTATTTTGATGATGTGAATGACATTTTTTGAGATTATGGTTGAGATGGTGAAATTATTTGAAGAAATTATTTAATAAAATAATCTGATATCAAATCATAAAGCTAAATTATTTTGAAATTATTTCCAACTTTTAGGCTCTTCTCTTTCCATTTTTAGGTATATATTCATAATTAAGGTGATGACTAGCTTTGTAGTTTGTGCAGTCTTAGAAAAAAATCTAGGTAAATTAAGATTATGGATAAGAAGAAATTGATAGGTTTGGAGATTATTTAATATTTTCTTAGATGGAAGTGACATGTTAATAACAAGTTATAAAAAACCATAAAATTGAGTATTATGAATGTAGATGCTCTAATGGCCCTTCCAAATGGGGCCTTAATTTTGTTTTTATACAAAATGGGGCCTTCTATTAATAATATTAATTGATGTATGGAGTCACTCCGTATTACGGAGGGCGTAAAATGTACGGAGTAATTGTGGAAGTTAATCTGCCTTTCTTATTGTTCTTCGTTCCTCAATCACGTTTTCCCACGTGGTCTCTATTGTTGAGTACAGAGCTTCTTTACTTTTTTAATTAAATAAATATTGTTGGAAAATGTCATGTAGAGTTGTGTACATGTTATTGTGTATACGGAGTACATTTTTGTGTACATGTCTCATTAACGTGGCCTTGTGGGCAAGTCATTTGTATCACACACAATTCAATTAAATTAAAGAAAGTATAAATTTTCACTAAATTTATACTCGGGTATAAAGTGTTTACTTTTTCTATTGAAATTCTGATTAAGATGTCTGTCTGGATAAAGTAGTGTCTGTCTGGATAAAGTAGTATTTGTATATGAAGCTGTTAACTTTCTGTGCTTAATAGACGGTCTCAATTGAGTAAAATAATAAATTTAGTATTATTCTTGAGTTATAAGCCAATAAGAAATTTCATTTACTAACATAAATCTATTTCATAATTGATTTAAAATTTTCACACAAAAGACTTCTTAACAGAAAGGAGTACTATATTTCAGCTTAATGATCAGGTCAGTTTTTTTACTGAATGATTAAGGGAGTGTTTGCAAATACTTTTGCTTAAAAAAACACTTTTCGAAATGAAATTGGAAAAAGTGATTAGCACTAGTAGTAAAAGTTGATAGTGTTTGAGAAAAACATGATTTGGAAAAGTAAAAATTGATAGTGTTTGCTAAAATAAGTGCTTTTTGTGTATTAGAAAACATAAAAAGCACTTTTTGCACAAAAACCGAGAAACCCTTTTTAAGTATAAGTTGTCACTTGACGACACTAATTTTAACTTTTTAAAGCCAAAAGCCGAGAAACGCTTTTTTTCAGCAGTTGCAAACATTTCTAAGTCGTTGTAAGTAAATATATATGACTTAATGACTGAACATAGCTAACATAGTTTTTTCTTACCACACATGAATATTTATATTTTCCTTGCTAGTGCGCGTAGTTCAACTGGTAGATAAAGAATGACACAAGGGAAAACCCCGGATTCGAATTGCGACAATTGTGATGAAAGATTAATATGTAAAAATGCATATACTTCCTCCGTTCTTTTTTAGTTGCAAATGTCAACATTTCACACTTGCCAACGCATATCTTTGACCGTAATTATATCTTAATCCATATTAGTAAAAAATATTTAAAAATTAGATTTTGAAAATTTGTAATGAGATGAATTGAAAAATATAATTTAAAAAAAAAAATTTCATAAAATAATAGTATAAAAATAGTGTAAAATTCAACATGTTGCGATTAAAAAGAGACGGAGGATAGTATAAGGCATCTCCAAGTGCTTGGACCAGAGCCTCAATCGCTATCTGCTAGCTAGTGATTAACGTCTATTTTATATCCTCTCATTTGATTGCCCGAACAATGTTGAGGCCTCATAAATGGAGTGTCGTTCTTCTTTTTTCCCTTAGCTAGGTAAGTTTCATACATTTTCAGCAGCTAAGAAAAAAAACCTTGCCTATTTATAGGTAGTTTTTTTATTATAAAAAACTCCATTTATATCCCAACAATTTTCTTTTCTGATCTATACTTTCTGGTAGTTGGGTTGGGTTTAGATTGTGATGGGGAATTGCGCTGCTTTTTCAGCAAGAGTTGGCGCTGCTCTGAGCTCCCACAACCTCTCTGGTAATTCCCTTGCTCTGTAAATTATGTGTTACCGAAATCCTTCTGCTCTATTTTTGGGTAGAACAATACAATTGAGTTTTTGTCTTGAAGGCCGAGTTTGATAGAACCGGATCCTTAAGATATACGGAGTTATGTACAGATTAATTAGACTTGTATAATATGAGTATAATTAAATTAGTGTGATACATATACTTGGTATTTTAATTAATGTCGTCTATATGTTAATGACAATTATTATTTTTAAATAAAAATAGACATCATCTCACACTAATGAAAAAACTGCCCCTAAAACACAAATCCTAGATCCGTTCTGGAATATACCGAAAGGCTCTTGTTAAGAAGACCAAAGTCTTTGAGCTATAATAAATACTCCGTATATAAGGGGCGTGACTTTTTATTATGTAAGATGTTTTTATGAAAAAATTACTAACAAAACTTTATTATAGACAAAAATGTGATAAAAGCTGTTAACATATACTTTTATAGTCATTGTGAGGTATATTTTAAATACAATTATAGTTAATTACTGGAGGTTATTGAATAAATTTTATTAACCTCTTATTTTGGTCATACTAGGAAATCTTTTTATAATAATTGGCGAGTTTTACCAAAATACAAAGAGATTTTCGCTCGTTTTTTACTAATAACCAAAAAGAATGACGATTATGTTTTCTTTTGAAAGAAGAACGTTAACGTATTCGAAATGGTGGTAACGTAGCAATGTTAATTTCATTTTAATTGCGATAGTAATAATTATTCATATTCTAGATATTTTCAATAATTAAATACTCCCTTTAAAAAATTCATATTCCTATTTGTAATTTGTTGGTTCGTAGTTTACATACAATAGGTGCGTAAAATAAGTATTCACAAATTTGTATGATTACATTTCTTACTCGTTCACTTAAACTATAAGATTTATAGTATATGCTCAATATTATCAATAGAAGACTCGTATAAAGAAAGAAAAAAACGAACCTTTTTCTTATCTATCTATATGAATATAAATTAATTTATATCGCATCAGCATTGTCATGCTGCCATAACCTCACCCACAATATATTATTGTGGCTTTCGTTTTTTTATACGGAGTAATATAAACATGAATTTGCACTTATAGGCTATAGCATTTGATTAAATGATTATTTGGCAGTAATTTGGCCGGGGTGAAATCAATTTCTTTTTTTTTTTTTTTTTGCAAAAAAGAATGCTTCATTTCTGTCTGCCATTTCAAAGTTCTTTATACGAGTTTTGCTTCGTGTACAAACCGGATTACACACTGGCTTACACAACCAAGTGTAATTGTTTTTGCCCACACAATTACGTTTAGATTTAATAAGAGTAACGGTGTGTGATCCTGAATTGTCTGTGTACAGATAATTCATTTTTTAGAGTCACAAACACTTCATTTACTAAACCAAGTTTAACTGTTTGTACCAAATAATTACACTTGGTGCGTAAGCTAGTGTGCAACTCGGTATGTGCACAAAGTAAAACTCTCTTTATATGGACCTCATCATGGAGGGAGTGGTGGATGTGTTTGATTGAGGGGTGTTCATGTGAAAATGCACATGATAAGAATACATGTTAAGAATTGATGGAGTAATTTTTTATGTAATATTTTAATGATAAAATATTTTTTAACATCCAAAATTTAATAGCAAGATGGTCGCTGCATGATGTAGGATGCAGCGTGATGTGTCGGTGAATTCAAATAGCTATCTGTACGGTAGGCTATTTGTTGCTTAGGCTCCTAGTGGTAGCTATATGTGGGTGTTATCTTATGCATTTGAAGTTAATTTCTGGTTTACTCTAGTCAGAAGATTAGAAAAGTTTAGATAAAGCTGAAAAGACTTTTTTCTAGATTAAATCAGATATACTCCCTCTTTCTTTATAATTTTGTCATCTTCCCTTTTTTGAATATTCCAAAAAAAATCCCACTTTCCCTTTTAATCAATGAATTTGTGGTTCCTATTATTTCTCTGTCCTCTGTACATATGTCAACCACACAGTTTTTATTTTATTATTTTTCATGCCGGTCAAACATTTGAGGCACGGAGGAAGTATGGCCGGTATAAGGATATAAATATTACTTCTAGGGACGTAGACAGGGGGTGGCCATCCCTGGCCATGGCCCAGCCCAAATTTTAAAAATGTCTAAATTTTTAGGGTAAAAAATTCCGTGTAAAATTTTTTCCAAAAATATTTTTTGTATCGGCCCAGTCCGGCCCAGTGTCCTGGCTCCGCCTTGATTACTTCTAACTTTTTTAAACATAAATTTTATCATTCAGAATCAAAAATAGATTTACTATTCGCACCTGAAAGATAGAGGACATGCTTGACATTTAGTTGTTAGCAGTTAGCAGATATCGGCTTATGTTAGTAGGTTGTTAATAGTGGATTCAGTTAGCTGATTTACTTGAGGAATAAATTAACGGATTGTAAAAACATATTACATAATTTAGTTTTTTGGTCGTAGCAATTAGTAGGAAATGACCTATTTCAAAACTCTGACCTGAAATGCTGCTAAGGTCAAACGCAGTATTTACCAAATTACATTTTCACTTATTTAAAAAGGGATCAACTGCTACTTTTTGGCTCAAATGCCATTTTTCAAACCCCCAGATGTGTAGATATACGACCTCAAATATACCTTTTGTGCTTTTGATAAACAGCCTCTCAGAAAAAAAGAGGACAGTCAAACGTGCCTCCTTCCTTAAGCCAACCTTCATCATCTAGTGGAAACAACAGCGTGGGTAGCCTTGCCGCACCAAGATCAGAAGAAGAGATATTACAATCCCCAAATGTGAAAGCCTTCACGTTTCTCGAGCTGAAGAACGCGACAAGAAATTTCAGAGCGGACGGGCTTCTAGGGGAAGGAGGATTTGGGTGTGTGTACAAAGGATGGATAGATGAACATACTCTTTCCCCTACGAAACCTCGATCTGGTATTGTCATTGCCGTTAAGAAGTTGAAACACGAAGGCTTTCAAGGCCATAAAGAATGGCTGGTATGTATTGTATGTATTTCACCTATAATTCCCCTTGCATATTCACATCATTCTCATATATTAGTGGACTCTGATATCATGTTAGAGTTTAAGATTCATATATAAAAGAAAATCACATAGGAGGATTGGAATAACCTTGAGTTGGGGTACCCCAATTTGTATCCCAATCTGTACACCGTCTGTGTACACAGACATTTGGACAGAAAGTCCTGCCCTCTTTCAAACGAACTGTGTACACAAGCAATTCAGGGGTGGGTACAAAATGGGGTGAGGTACCTATAGAATTTTTGAATAACCTTATATCAGCTTATTAGTTCATATGGGGTAAAATTTCGACACTTCACTAGGAAATATAATGCAAATACTTGAATTTATCATATCACAACACATAAACAATTGTGTTTGTTTTTAGATTTCTTTAAATGTGTTAACATTTATGAAGTAATACAAAGAAAAACATAAATAGTTAATTACAAATCTTTTGCACCAACATCGACCTAATTTTATTAAGTCCTAATTAATCAAACGTTTTAATTTCTTGACCATTTCCTTTCCTTTCAATTACATGCTTTATATACTTTTACCCTATTTTCATTCCCTTGCAACTTTCATACCCAAAAGGTATATTTAGATCTCACACAATAATAGGGAAGTTAATTGGTTTCATATATAGATTTGATTTTAACTTGGAAATGGAATAAGCAAACTGAAATACAATCAATTTTTTTTTGTATGTTTGTAATCTTTTCACACATTTAAATTTGAGTTTTTTCCTTAGTACTGGACTACTGTCGAAATAAAAGATATAGACGGAAATATGACTCAAATTATTATGAACATTTATGTACCATAATGGTTATTTTAAATGTAAAATTGAACATGATTATATGGTAACTAAAGTTCGTGCTTAACTTTTACTACGTACGGAGTAGCATTCTTCTCCAAGTATTCTCATCAGTTCCAAATAGGCCCTACCTAACCTATTTTCTTCATGAAAATTGTGCTGGTTGCCGAACACAGGAAAACCAGATTTCTAAAAAAAAAAAAAGAAATTTCTTGAAGCAAAGGGAGTGTGATAAACATTGTGCTTTCCTGTTAATTAAATAGTAAATGGATGTCTTGTAGACTGAAGTCAATTATCTCGGGCAACTTGAACATCCAAACCTGGTTAAACTGATCGGATACTGCTCAGATGGTGACAACCGGCTCTTAGTTTATGAGTTCTTGTCTAAAGGCAGCTTGGAGAACCATCTTTTCCGAAGTACGTTTGTTGTCCCCTTAACTGCATGCCCTTTAATTTCCTCTAGTTAGTTGTTATTATATATGTCATGCAAAGTACAACAAACGGCTTTAAAAACGCTACATCTTGATTTAATTTGCTTAATTGTTACAAATATAGAAAACATAAAGATTAAAAGTCATATACTATGTGTCTATGAATGTAGAATTACAACAAACACAACACCAACAATATTACTCCACTGTCACAAAGACTCAGCTCCCACCTACAATAGGGTAAGGAGAGTCAGATGTATGCAGTCTTACCCATGTACTAAATCACAAAGATATTGTTTCCAGATAACTCATAAAGAAAATTGTGTCAGAAATTGCAACAACCGACTACTTCTTCATATCAAAGAAACACAGATAATTTACTTAGTTGTTTTTCTTTAGTCCATCATATTCCCAAACCAAAAGAATAGGGAATCTTGGGCTCCACTTAAAATGATGTATAATAGCATGTAGAATTATAAAGATTAAATTAGAATTAGAATTTTGTAAATCCTTTAATTTGTTATTGTAAAGGACGACTGAACATCCTAAAATGCCTAATACTAGTATTACTTACTTGTAAGATTTTATATATAATGTGTTTGGATATAAAATGGCTACTTAACGAGTCTTATATTTGGATAATAATTTATAGGGGGCTCACAGCCACTGAGTTGGTCCACGAGAATTAAGGTAGCTATTGGTGCAGCTAGAGGTCTTGCTTTTCTGCATAATGCTAAAGAGCCTGTTATATATCGTGATTTTAAGGCAGCTAATATTCTTCTCGATACGGTATGCTATTTATCCATAACATCTCTCTAATATTTACATCAATCCGGATTGCTTAGAAACCATATGCATTCCAATATTTTTCATATTGACTACTTTGAAAAAGACACGAATATGAAAATATATTTTCTTCAAACTCCCTATGTGTGTGATGCCAAGATGATAAATATATTGATTCTTTAATAAAATGTTGGCACTGAATATATACCAAGTACGATAGTATATATTTAATCACTCCTCCAACGGCTACTACTCATGTCTTGGATGTTACAATACTTTGACTTCATTGTTGTAGGAATTCAATGCCAAGCTGTCCGATTTCGGTTTAGCTAAGGCTGGCCCGACGGGTGACCGCACTCATGTGAGTACTCGAGTAATGGGTACCCAAGGCTATGCAGCACCAGAATATATTGCTACAGGTCTGTTCTTCCTCGTAGTCTATTTGGCTTAAATTGCAGAGTCAATATCTTTTAGGACATGTTCATAAACATCTTTTAGGAAATGTTCATATCTTTAGAACATTTGTCTTAAATTACACAGAATCTAGACAATTGTCTAGGACATTACTTTTTATAAGATTTATATATTGAATGTATATGTCTCTTACAAATAATACACTCCACTGGTTTCTGACATACAGGTCGGTTAACAGCAAAAAGTGACGTTTATAGTTTCGGAGTTGTGTTACTCGAATTATTATGTGGTCGTCGTGCCGTTGAAAGTTCTAAACAAGGTTCAGCAGAGCAGTATCTAGTGGAGTGGGTAAAGCCATATATGGAGGACAAGAGGAAGTTGTTTAGGATAATGGACACTAAATTGGGAGGGCAGTACCCTCAGAAAGGAGCAATTAGTGTTGCTAGCCTTGCTCAGCGGTGTCTATGCCCGGAACATAAGCTTAGGCCAAGTATGTCTGAAGTTTTAGATGAGCTTGAACTAGTCCAAGCCCCGAAAAGCTCTCCTAAGTTCTCCGAACCCAACCATCAAACCAAAACTTGCAATGTGTAAGGTGGGGTGGAGTTCGTAGCACATGAGAGCCTCTCCACATTCAGTTTAGACATAAGGAAACAAAATGATGTGTGATTTGATGATTTGATCTGCCATTTTGAGAAATATAACAAATGTGGAGTTACTTTTGAAAAACTTTCATTTTTGTCAAAGTTTATTTTTTCTTGCCCTGTTTTCTTCATTGTGTTTTAAAAACAGACCTAAATAAGAATAAAACGTTTTGAAATTCCAAAATACGGCTATTATATTTTTAATCTCTAAATAAGAGTAATTACTCCCATGTGATAAAAATACCCACAATCATGGTAAAATGTTTTCACATTTTTTTAAAACTTAGTAAGGTCATAATATGACAATTAATTTTCCATGATGACAATAACTACATATTATATCTATTTTGGAAGTTTGCATCATTTTTACTCTTATTTTGATAATTTTCCCTAATTGTTTTCTCTCTTTCAAAAATAGACAGATTGCCATTTGTAGTGTGATTATACTAGAAACTGTAATAGAATTTGAGTAAAGAAATAGTTCTTGTAAAGTTAATTTTTTCATATATTCTTTCACCATATTTTGGTTTCACTTGAATCATTCTCTCCCTAAAGAGTCATGGGTCACTCTTTGAGCCATTCTTGTGAACTAATGGTTACTCCCTCGCTTCCATTATGATTATCTTATTTTCGTTTTTGAGTTGTCCTAAGATGAATGGCATGTTTCCTTTTTGACAAGCAATATGAGGTCCGTATCATTTCTTTTTATTGTACTTGAATATAATTTCGATCACAATTATCACTTCTCAACCATTTTATTAATAATCGTGTCAAACTAAAATAAGACATCAATGCGGAATACATGTAGTATTACATTTGTTTTGTCTATTCTAAATTAGCCTGAAAATATTATAAAACCACCACTTAATTAGGCACAAGATGATGGTATTGGTACCATAATAATATTAGAAGAATGGTGAAAAGGAGAACATACACATAACTAAGATAAAAAAAAAAATACACAAATATTTTAATAGAAAAACTCAAATGTATTTTCTTATATATGAATAAAAAGTACATTAAGTGTCACAATTATCATGATCATAATAAAAAATGGTTTATATTTACAATTGCCTATCACTAGTCCCAAGATCGCCACTGCTGTCATCGGACCTCTAGTGACTTCATAATCACATCTATGGTGATCATTGTTGTCACAACTTCGGTGTGCAAACCCCATGCATGACACTAATGCCCTAACTCTTCTGCCATCTTCAGGATTCTGCCGCCAATCAAGGGTGGAGTCAAGGCACTGGGCCGGATTGGCTCGGTACAAAGAAAATTTTTGAATAAAAGTTTACATCAAATTTTTTACCTTAAAAATTCCGACATTTTTTAAATTTGGGGTGGGTCAAGGCCTAAATTGGTCTCCCTCTAGCTCCACCCCTGCCCCCAACCCTCCAACATGTTGCCTCTATCGCCGTCTTTGACAACGCCACTACGAGTTTGTATATCTAGGCTGCTGTTGACGGTTAACATTTTGATGATTAACCATAACCGAACATTTTGTTGATGGTTAACCTCTAGCTATCACCTTCAAATCTTTGTGGATGGTTAAACCAGAAATAAAGATTTTTTCTCTTTTACAGAAAAATGTCACAAAATTGAAAATAGTGTCTGTGAAGTCAATATTAAAAAATTTAAAATGATTATTATCAATATTTAAAGAAAAAAGTTTCACAATCTCAATTCAATTTATCAATATTATCATCAGATCTCATTCGAGTATGACAATTATATTGTTATTTCTTTAGTAGTATTCTTTTATTATTTTAGTTCGAGTAGGCATGGTTGTTTTACTTTAAGAGTTTGTGGTGGAGACATTTGAATATTTTTCGGTCCCCGTACTGACGTTGAAAAGAAAAAGAAAACGCCAATTATGATGGTGCAACTAAGAATTTGATTGGGAATTTCTCTGTTTTTATTCTTCTTCGTGATTAAGGATAAACATAGAAACATTAAAATAAGAAATTTAATGTTAGGGATATTTCTTGTAGATTTTAATTCATGTAAGAAAATTGTGGTCCATACTATCAATTTCAAATTGTTTTTTCCAGCAGCTTTGTCATCATTTTTTTTTCTTTTAGACTCCTTTTTACATTATCAATAACCCATCCGCTCTTTCAATAATGGATGAATCATTTTCATCATTATCCCTTTCGTTGTTATATGTGCCTCATATATTCTACGTGATTTACTATTTTATTGGGTTGCTTGATTAAGAACTTGGGGTTTACTTTTATTTCATTGATACTTAATTTTGGAGGGCTCTTGAGACCAATACAGGAAAGTGGAATTGATTAACGCTTCGGTATTTAGATATAGATTCTTTGGAATTGAAGTTGAAAGAGTGTTTGGCGGTGGTCTGGTGGACTTGTTCCAGGTAATTATCAGAAGAGCGTATATCAATTAACCATGAGGGCAACCTTAGTTTACAATGAGTAGTTATGAAGCTTATTTTTTACTGTATTGTTTATTACAAATGTTTAGGAATTTAGGGGACTTAATATCAGATCATCAGTGTATCCTCTTGCTAGATTGCAACTATACTCTGTGATGGGCATAATGCATGGTACTTTATATTTAGCTCTCTGGTGATACACTTTCCTTCTTCCCATCCTTGTTGATTATATTGTACTTGTAAGGAGTGTTGTGCTAATGTTAGTGTACATTATGAAGTCAAATGTGCTCCAAATCTGTATTTTTTTTACAGTAAGCATATACCACAAGTTTGCAAGGCATAAAGTAGTCCAAAATGCTAGAATAAAAATAGAGTACCATGGTGTTATAAACTTCACACGTTCGGAAAGCACAAATATTCTAATAATGATAAAACAACAAAAATGGCAATGATCAGAAAACATAACGTAAAGCCTCCAACTAGCCATAGACACATCCAAGGCTTCACTTCTTTGATTTTTTAGATACTTGTGGGGCTGATTGGGTTTGGGGAGCTGCTGCGGGAGCAGGTGCTTCCTTCTCCACTGTGCCCTTAGTAGAACGTTCCTCTCGCCTTGCAAACTATTTCTCACGGCTAGCCTTGTTCTTGGCTCTCTTGGCCTCAAATTGATCAGACAATGTCTTCTCTCTAGCCTTCTCTACCTTTGATTTGTTGATGCTTTCCATCAGCACACGCTTTTTTTTTGAAGACATTTCCCTTATCTAGTCTTCTCTCATGCCTTCTCTACCTTTGATTTGTTCATGTACATATCATGGTACATGTGCTTGTCAATTAATACCAAGTTAATGTTCCGCAGCATTTACCCACTGGGTCATGTAAATTAATATTAATAAAGTGGTTAAGTAATACTATAACCTACACAATCGGATATAAAACCTAGTTCAAGTTATCAGAGTAGAGGGAGCATATTTGTTTCTATATTATTATTTGCATTGAAAGCTTATTGAAATCTTCTTATACTAACCGTGATGGTATTTGACATGTGAATAAATGTGATAGTGAAGTAGCTGTTAATTTGGATGAAGAAAGGGAAACCCGTTCAAGTGGTGAACGAGAAAACAATGCCGCTAATGATGAATCTCATAGTGATGAGGGTGGTGCAAACATAGATGATGAAGAAGGTGAGTTTAATATGAATTCAGACATGGCAGCCGATGATATATGTGCATTACGGTTTGAGGGTTAAGAGGAAGCTTATGAGTTGTACAAAAAGTATGCTAAATGTCATGGCTTTGTGGTAAACAAACATAACTTGGGTCGTAACAATAGGAAAAATGTCACCGTGTGACATTATGTATGCAAAAGGCGAGGTTTACAAAATCCAAAACATTTTATAAGGACCGATATGAAAAGAACACATAGACCCCTTACCCGAACAAACTATCATGCAAGGTTAAGTGTTGGTTACAAGGTCAAAACATCATGTTGGATAGTTACACATTTTGAAGATGATCATACCATGAATTAACACCTTCAAAATATGTGCACTTATTACCTACTTATCGTAGAATAACAAATGTAGATAAAGCAAAAATTGATAGCTTGCATGCACATGGAATTAGAACTTACCATATAATGGGGTACATGGTTGGACCAAAGGGTGGGCATAACATTTTCGGTTTTACTAAAAAAGATTTATACATCTATTTTGATAACGAAGTGTATGGTCACGTTAAAGATGAGGATGTTGTACTCCATGAAATAAAGTAGGATGATCTGTCTCTAAAAGTTCCTTTATACTTCTAGGAGTTTTGGGTTCAAGTGCATAACTTACCAGTAGGGTATTTGAGTTTAAGGGTTGCTAAAATTGTTGGTAATAAACTTGGAAGTTTTGTTAAGCTTGATGATAATCAATTTGAGGGCATTGGAGGGCTTATTTGAGGGTTCGGGTTTGTATTGATACAAGGAAACTGCTTAGGAAAGACTTGAAGGTTCAAAAATCAAATAGGGGTTGAAATATGAAAAACTCCCCAATCTTTGTTTCGTTTGCAGGCTTATTGGCCATGATGATAGGTTTTGTACTCAGATCCTGGGTCACCCAAACTCATCACAATTAAAGGAATTTGGACCATGGATGTGGGCAGGTAATGGATTTAGTAGTAGAGGTGGAGGAAATAAATGGCTTATAGTGGAGAATTCTAATAAACAAGGGTCAAATATCGATGAGGATTTTGAGGGACCCTCTATGGAAAGAGGATAGTGGCTGTGGGTTCGGGCACTGATGTTTATGCAGGTGAGACTTTAGGTCCAGAGAATCAGGGGGATGTAGTACAAGTAGCCAAGCAGAAGCGTCTTAGATTGGAGCTATCAGGAGAGACATACAAAATGATGGAGGTTGAAACCAGTGGAGGAAAAAGCGGTGTGGGGGGCGAGCTCTGGGCAATAGGCTCGCCCGACAAGTTGAAGAGGGATGACACAAGCTTTCAATTTTATTTTTCTGCTTTCAGTTTTATTTTAGACCATTAGCTTTGTTTTCTGTTTTGTCGGTTTTAAACTTTTTAGTCAGGATTCTAGGTTGTTTTTTATTTGGACTACTAATTGGAGAATCCGATTTGTGGGTGTTCTGTGGGGCAATTTTTTTTGTCACAATAGGCTT